ATCTGGGTTTAAATTCCACTTGAGCACTTACTGGATTTATGACCTGGGACAAGATTCATAACTTTCAGTGCCTGTTTCCTTGTATGTGTGATTGATGATACCTACTCCAGGGTTGCTGTAAGAATTAAATGAGAAAATACTTGCTTGTGAAGTGCTTAAAATAGTGTGTGGCACACAGTAAACATTTAATATATGTCAGTTATTACATTTCTTAGCTAACTTATCCAGTTTTCTTAGACAACTTAGGAAAATTTTTTTTAATTAACTAAAACCTATTCCTTAAACACAAACTTTTATTTTAGTTGTCTTGGGTAGAAATATTTCTAAAATGGACTATGCACTTCACTAACTTTTTGTATATATCCTGCACATAGTATGATATTTTCACATTAATTCAGGGTCACTACAAATGTTTACCATTGCCCTGTATTTCAGGTTTGTCACAGAGGTGCAGAAGTGTTTCAGATGGCTCCCAAATAGCCTAAGATTGGTTATGTTCTCCCTTTCAGGTGAAAAGCTTCCATGCCTTTCAGTCACCACTTCCCCTCCCCTTCTAATCTACTGTAAGACTGAGAAAGCTAATGAACAGGCTGATTAGAATTGTGCTGAAAAGAGACCAAAGTGAGCTAAAAAGGAAGTGGAAATGAGTCTTCTGAATATGACACCTTTAAGCATTAGTACATATTTCTGGACCCTTGGCTGTACTTCAGATAGCTGAGGTTGTTTGAAATGATGTCCAAATTAAGGAAGTATTGCTCCAATGGCAGTAGTGCTTTATATTGAAATGATGTCAAGTACAGTGTCATTTTTGCAGCTTTATTGAGATGTGATTGACAAAAATTGTATATATTTAAGGTGTACAATGTGATGTTTTGGTGTACATACATATCGTGAAATTATCCATTACCTCACATAGTTACCATTTTTGGTATTTGGTGAGAACACGTGAGATCTACTCTTAGCAAATTTCCAAGATACATTATTAACAATAGTCACCAGACCTCCAGTTGCACCCTTTGATCAGAATCTTTTTTCTCCTCATATTGACATGCTTTGAAAAACCTATTCGAGTCGGGCTCGGTGGCTCAGCCTGTAATCCCGAGCCTTTGGGAGGCTGAGGTGAGTGGATCGCCGAGCCCGCGGGTTCGAGACCCGCCTGGGCAGCGAGACCTCATCTCTACAATAAATCAAAAAATCAGCCGGGCGTGGTAGCACATGCCTGTAATTCCGGCTGCTTGGAAGGCTGAGGCGGAAGGATCGCCGGAGCCCAGCAGGCCGAGGCTGCGGTGGCCGGGAGCGGCCACTGCACTCCAGTCTGGGCGACAGAGTGAGGCTCCAACTCAAAAGAAGAAAAACCCATTCAAAACTGTCCTACAAACAACTGAACTCATCTTTAAACTCTCAGTAGATCTTCGTGCCTCTTTCAGGTTACGGGGATGCATGCATCCGTGAATGAATAAGGCAATGTTCCATTCTCCTGCCTTGGTCACACTGCAGAGTCCGTCAGGATTCAATACTCTCTCCTCTCGCCTCGGTCACTGCTATGGTTCAAATGTCTGCGATCCCTCCAAAATTCATAGCCCGACACTCAATCCCCAATGCAACAGTGTTGGGAAGTGGGGCCTAATGGAGGGTGTACAGGCCACGAGGGCTCTGCCTTCATTAGTGCCCCTACAAAAAGGGTTTGTAGCTTAGCTCCCTTTCACTCTTCTGCCATGTGAGGTCACAGTGCTCTGCAGGATGCAGCATTCAAGCTGCCATCCTGGAGGCCGAGAGAGGGCCGTCACCAGACACCCAACCTGCTGGCGTCTTCCTAGACTTCCCAACCTCCTGAACTGTGAGCAGTCCATTTCTATTCTTTATAAATGGCCCAGTCTCAGGTCTTCTGTTTCAGCAGCACTAAAGGGACTAAGACGGTCAAGTTTAGACTCAGCCAAGATTACGAACCAAGTCAATCCACGGACGTTCATTTATTGCTAACTTGGATCATGCTGACATTTTAAATTACAAATTACTTTTTAAAATAGGAGAGAAGAGGCTGGGGGCAGTGACTTATGCCTGTATTCCTAGCACTTTGGGAGGCCAAGGCAGGAAGAATGCTTGAGTCCAGGGGTTCGAGACCCATCTAGGCAAAGTAGCGAGACCTTGTCTCTACAAAAAATTAAAAAATTCACCAGGCATGGTGGCGCGCACCTGTACTCCCAGCTACTCAGGAGACTGAGGCAGAAGGATCTCCTAAACCCAGAAAGTCGAGGCTGCGGTGAGCCATGATCGTGTCACTACACTCCAGCCTGGGTGATAAAGGAAGACACCCAGCTCAAAAAAAAAGAGAGGAAAGAACAGAATAATGTAATATCCTTTTACCAGTTACCTAGATAGAGCAAAGTTTAGCATTTTGCCATATATTCTTTTCAGGAAAAAAATGTTAGAATCACCTTCATTCTCCTCCATACTTATCCTTGCCCTCATGCCCCATAGGTAAGCAATCTTGTGAAAAGGGTGCTTGTTTTTTGTTTTCCTTGATTAGCATATACTGAAGGAAGCATTTAGAGCTGAGGCAGATAGACTGGAAACTGACACAATATGTGAATTTAAGGAGGCAATGATGTACAATTTCCAGATAACTGAGCTGAGCTAGTTACATTCTGCAAATGGATGGACGATAGTAACAAATTACTATAACATTTAGATTCCATCATATACATTTTAAAACAGTTTGTTTTAAACTGTTACCGTTTACCATTTGCTAAGATTATGACTAATTTTATGTTTAACTTAAAAATGTGCAAAGGGGCAGGCACATGGTTTTTCACAGTTCCTTTAGGAATGTTGGGGGCTATGAAGACACGGCGTTAGTGAACACATCTAGAAGTGAAAATGTGAGTCTTATGGCACAGTCGACTTCAATGTTACAAGATACCACAAATTTGCTTTCCAAAATGGATATATCAATTCAAGTTCCAACCATGTTTCCCTTTTTCTTGACAACACATGGTATTTCTTGCCCTCTTTTTAAAATAATGTTTCAGAAAGGATGAGACAAGTGTCATCAAACTTATTCATGATATCTTTCATTTTCTTTCCAAATTAGTTAGTAGCTTGTGCCCCAGAGTGGTGCTCCCCAATGGTACCTAACGAGTCCTATGGTAGCTGGGATCCTGGGTTGGTTACCTCCTGATGCTCTGAGGGGCAGGAGGAGAACTGAGTCTGAAAGTATACCCTGGCAGGAGAGCAAACTCTCTGTCCTCCCTGGCCAGATGAAATTCTCCATCTGTCATGGACAAAGGGGTCTATGAAGGTGAGAAATATGCTCCATGTGTGCAAAGAGCAGTTAGGAAGCCCAAGTGTGATGCCCTCAGGTGTAGCTAGTTGGATTTGAGGGGGTTGGAAGCTGGAGGTGGGAAGCGGCTCCTTGTAGACCTCAAAGAACCTTTTTGATATGAGCTCTATCTGTCTGATGGTGACTGATGTGTACTCTCACTGGTGTCTCAACTAGCAGCAGGATTATGGATGGGAGATTACACATTAGAACATCATTTTGAAATAGTTGCAATGAAAATAATCCACTTGAATTTGAAATCACATTACAAGAGATCTCAAAATTATATGTCCCAAAGAAAAGGAAGCGCTGTCACTTAATTTCAACTGTGTACATTTTTGAATTGTTTTTTTACAAAGGCCCCCAAAATTATCACATATTTGTGGAGTGTTTCCCATTGGTCTTGGTATTAAAAATTTGAAGAGGTTATCAGCTAGTTAAAACATGACAAGATTTTATTTGAAGATTCTATACAAATTCAACTTTTCCTTAAATCCTCCACATTTTTCAATTATATAACTAAAAAGTAGTGATTTTTTCCCCTCCAGTTCCTTCTTGTTTCTACCAGTATGCTGTATGGTATTTTCTGTGTGCCAGGATATGAAAAAGGCTGGGAAGCACTGATATGGACAATGTGGTATGGTCCTCCCTTGCTTGTATGTGACTTCATTAGCACTGTTTTGTTATTGGCCTCATAAAGACCCAATCTGACTTATGCTACAAGCCTCAAGCAAGTTGGATTCTGCGTCTTTTTGTTCAACTGTAAGCGCACTGTCCCTCCCAAGCATCACGCCACCAACTCCTCAACTTCTTTTTTCATATCGTTTGGGAAGTTCAATTTTCAAAATATTTAATACCTTTGTTCAAAGATCTTGTATGTCTATGAACTCTTAGGCTGGTAGCAGTTGAAAATATCGATGAAGAATTCGCGTTTTAGGTAACCAAGTCATGTTCCTCACTTCCCAGATGAGGGAACCGAATGAAACTCAAGGAGGAGTTTGTGCCCAACCGGCATTAGTGCCAGGGCTTAGATCAGAAAACAGGTGTCGGCCTTCCTGTTTAGAGCTTTACTATACGGATCTTCACATGCATGCTATTCAAACTTAGTAACAGACTTTCCCTTTTCAAACATTTCAGATACATACTTAAACGTGTCCATTCATTCAAGGAAATGAGATGTGTTCAGGGAATAAGGAAATGGTAGTGAAAAGGATAATTCTGTGTGAACCAGATTATTCCACGATGAGGCAGTGTCTCATGGAACAGTCAATGTCTTGAAACGCTTAAGGAAGGGAAGATGGAAGAAGGAAAAGAAGTCATTTTCTCTCTCATAAATGAGAGCTGTTTGTCTCAACCAAGAAGAGAGATTAGTACACCAAATTAAGCAAGATGGAGGTTTACAAAGTATTTAATATTGGCGTATTTAAGCATTCATTATAGGAATTTTAGAAAATAAGCTCCTACAGTCTATAAGTTTATTTACTATATTGATAAGGTATTCTAAGTGCATAATATATTGGGATTTTGTACTAACAAGTCTAGTGTTTACTTTGCACCTTTTAGGTGAATTTTTAAAAAAAATTAAAGCCTTTAGATGGCCTAAAACTTTTGATGATGCATTCCCAAATTTAGGCTTTGCTGCACCAGAATACAATAGGAGCTAACATGATCATACACAATATAAGGATTATTGCAGTTTATTTAACACTAAAAGTTGCCATGCTTCAAATACAATAAAATATATTACAATGGTCATTTTTAATGCTTTATTCATTGATTAAAAGAATATACATTTAACATAAACCATACAACATCAGTCATCAGGTCAAACATTCAGCTGGTTTCCTTACAGTTTCTGTCAGGAGTTATTTTATCAGATCACATTTATAAGATAAAATCTCACCACATCTGGCATTTACACACACTGTGCCAGTGGATTCACACTACTGATGTACATATAAAATCCTCATGGTATGTGCTCACTGAAGACAAAACAGTGCACACCTGTCAAAAGGTCATTTTAATATAAGATGGTAAAACCATTTGTAAAACACATATAAACTTTTTTCCATAAATAGAATCATATCTGGACATCTGTTGCATAAATTGTGTTTCCAAAGCTTACAATAGAGCAGCCAGGTCTCAGCACTGCTGGGCACCCACGTTGGCTACTTACTTTATTATTGCAGACTGTCCTTTAACATTAAATGCACAACATTCGTACCACTTAAAACTGGGGTCAGGTGGAAGTCTCACAGAGACCACGTCTGTACCGCGGTTGCCCTGAAACAGTTAAATCGGCTTTTAAAGCCTCTCAGATATAACAAGGTTTTAAAACATACTTCATGGAATGTTCTTCATGTATCATAGCAGCTCATACCTGTGATAGAATAAGCTTTCTGTTTTTCCTTTCTTTCCTTTACATTCACTATTCACAGTGAAACAGGTGCATGGTTTTTTTTTTCTTTTTTTTGTTTTGTTTTTTCAGAGTTCTGAGGTTGCTGACTGAGCCACAGCACAGCTGTGTACCACAGGTCGAAATTCGACCTTAAATATTACAATCTAGCAGTATCTGGCTGGCCAGAGTGGGCCGGCCCCTGCCAGCATGTGGGCACTTCTTCATTAAGTCTATTCTTTGGCAGCTGACACGCGTGCTGACAGAGAAAAATCCAGTGACTTGTTGCTAGGGATTTCACGACTAATGTTTGTTTGCAAGCATGTGTGTTTACAACTCTGCATTTTGATTTGCTTTAGAAGGTTTTACCCTGGAATGCAGTTTCTTTCTGCCTCCATTATTTGAAATGTGTGCTAAAAAGCTAACTTGAATGTATAATGTAATTGATAATAAAATTATGTCAGATGTAGTTTAAAAAAAACAATAATTTGAGTATTCATGTTTGCATAAATGCATTTTTTTCTTACAAAAAGGATTAAGCAATGTTCTAACCTAGTACTATACAAAATTCAAAATGGTAACCAGTGATATCAACTACTACATATGTAATGAAAGTTAAAGTCTTGGCTTTTCTGTTAAAGATAATTTATTTGGGATCATCTTATTCTCCCTTCTTCCACTTCAAATCAAAGTTATTGAAATGGTATCAGAATGCATGAATGAAGTGCATTGCATACAAATCCACCAGGCTATGGATATATATCTATATATGTATAAAAATATTTTGGCTCCTGAGCTCTGAACTCTGACACACAAAGAATAAAAACATCAAAAAGGCAGAGTTAACTCAGTGAAAAATAAAGTTAGCCAGCAACCCCAGACAACCTTCGGTTGTATATCCTTAAGGTTGGTAACAAGTCCATTAACCGTGAAAGCCCTATACATCGTCACTTTGAACTTCTAAACCAATACCCGACTACGCTCTTTGATCAAGAAGTAGACTATACATATACAATTCTATAATGCTAATACTGATTAAACACAGCACAAAAGGATTAATTTACACTACTAAAAAAAACATAATAGGACCCTACTTGCATATGTAACCACAGGAATTCTACATTTAAAAAAGCTAAACGTCTTCGCTGAAGTTTTGCATCTCTCTGTAAAAATGACGATTTGGTTCAGTGAAGACACTGAGTGATTCGATGTCCATGACTGCGTGCCAAGGTTGACCCAGGCCCAGGGATACCTGCTCAATAAGGTTATGCACTGGATCCACATCCTGGTCGGCCAGTTCACCTTGATCAAAATCAATGCTTTCTTCAGTGACTTCCAGCACTTTCAGATCAGAGCCACGAAGACGTGCAATGGCAATGAGGTTGTGTGCCCACACTGTGTAACCTGGAAAATAAGCACAAGGCAACACTCTCATTTCCTTGCATTTCATTCTGTCTCTTTGAGAAGTTAGTCTTTTCCTCTTTCAATGCTTCTAGAGAAGCTTCAAACTTGTCCACTTTGGTCCTTTCAAAATATACTGAAATTGAAAAAGGAAGCATGATTGTTTAGCCCAGGGAAAAAAAAGCTAGAAGTTTGACACTGTCTCAAGAACACTGCTGTGGGTGGTGAACTGGTAGGTGGATCTAATCCTATGCTGATATCATTTTATTCAGTAAGATCGAAGAAATTTAAAGTTTAAAGTATATATAAATACATTTTATAGCTTTGGATGATAATAATCTATCATAAAGGACAAAATTTTTACTTGATATATATGTATCCATTAACAATACACAGTAAAGTAGTATTATTTATTTGTGGGAAAAAAATCTCCCATGATGCTTCATAGTACAAAGTTATGAAGTGATACTTTAAACTGTTAATTGTCAGTAGCAAATATGTAAAGAACAAAGCAGTCATGGGAACGACATGTACCAATTTCAAAATAATGATTACTCTTGGGAAGTTATAAAGGGGAATGAATGGGGGAAGCTTTAGCTTTAAAGCAGGAAAAGGCTTTAAAAAGATTGGCTTTGGTTGGGCTAGGTGGCTCACACCTGTAATCCCAGTGCTTTGGGAAGAATTGCTTGAGGCAGGAGTTCGAGACCAGCCTGGCCAACACAGCAAAGACTTAGTCTCTACAAAAAATACTTAAAAAAATCAGCTAGGTGTGACGCTGCATTCCAAACAGACCAAGATCCTAGACCCCCGTCTCAAAAACAAAACAAAACAAAAGACAAAGAGAAAGACTGACTTAAATTAGTTTTTTTTTGTGTGTGCTTGAGTTGGGGAATCTTACTCTGTTGTCCAGGCTGGAGTGCAGTGGCACGATCACAACTCACTGCAGCCTCGACCTCCTGGGCTCAGGAGCTGGGACTACAAGTATGCGTCACCATGCCTGGCTAACTTACTGATTTTTTTTTTTTTTATAGAGACAGGGTCTCACTATGTTGCCTATGCTGGTCTCAGACAATTCTACCACCTCACAATCCCAAAGTGCTGGGATTATAGGTGTGAGCCTGGCCTTATATTAACTTTAAAATAACCTGACATTTCTTTATCCCCATTTAATTTACCACTCTCAATACTGATCTAGTCTTTGCTACTGCCTCTGGTGGCTGGCCAAAATATAAGGCAAAACTTGAAAAGCAAGACACCTACATTCCCACATACAAATGCAGACAAAAAGTAAAAATTGAAAAATAATGAAACAGAGCTAAGAGAGTTTAACATATTCTTATAGATTATCTGGAATTATAAATGTCAGAAAAGGAAGTAAAATATTATATTTTGTCAGAATAGCAACTCTCTTTCTACATGAGAATAGTTCACATTAAGATGAAAGGCCCCAGTAAGAAATAAGCATATCAATGGAACTATCATGTGAAAAAGTTATACAAATACTTTAATACCTAAGATCTAAAAGCTAAGGCAGTGAGTATGAAATAAATCATAGGTTCTCTTTCTTCTATGCTATGTTTTTAAGGTGTCTTGTGATTACAGGAAATATATCTACTGCCGGTAGAAATGTATGTTTCCTTAGTTAAATTAATTTCAAATGCCATTTTTGTGAAATACCACAAAATTCATATGGTGGACAAAAAAAGTCACAGGGAAGCTGGAGCAGTACACTTGGGGTTGAGTATGACTTTCCATTTGTAAATGATATATCTTATAAACTTTTAAGAATCTGCAAATATACACATCCATGTCTTTTTGTAAAAAATAAAAAAAACAGATCTGCATGTCATTTTGTTACAAGAATTCTTGACATTATAAAGGCCAGTTCTATATTGTTTACTGGCACAAAATGTTTTAAGTGTAATGCCAATACTAAATCACAGTGAACAAAATCACATACCATGAATTGCCAGAAGAGAGAGCTTTGTGCATCTCCATGCTAATAAGACCAGTGGATCTTCATTTCGGTTATCACTAAGATCTGGAAAACCAGACGTGTCAATCACATCATTCATTAATATAAAATGAGTGAGGAACTTATCATACTGCCTGGATATAAGATCAACAATAGCCCCTGAAACACAAGTGATATAGCTGTCAAAATGAATCCTCTCTAGTGGTATACTGGGTTTCAGAATCTTCAGCATATCTTCGCTCTTGATATCAAAAGCCATTATATAGACCCGAAGGCTGGTGCTCTTTCGTGACAGGGCTTTCCAATGCTCATCATTTGGCATGTTGTCCAGAGACTTGTGCATTATGGAAACATTGTGGACCAGAAGAGACAGTCGCTGCAAAGGCACATGGTTGCTATCGGTTAAGACTCTTGCCATCTCAGCTGTAAAGTCACAGAAATCCAAGGCAAGTGAGCGCAGATTCACAAATCTCTCCAGTTCAACTGCAGTGATAAGAGTGCTGTTACCAGGAATATTATTGTCCAGTAAACTCAGGTGCTCCATGGTGTTGGCAATAGCATTAGAGAGAGATGACAGTGATGTTGGGGTTACTATTTCCAGCATAAACCCACAGGACAGCCACTTCAGTTGCCTACTATTACTCAGTATTTCTTCAAAGAGTTGCTGAATTCTATAAGGAAAACACATGCCACAGTAATCCCATTAACATTTAGCTCAAATCCTTTAACAATGACTTTTGAAAACAGGTAATGAATGGCATGCAATGTTGAGATCCATTTTCTGTCCTAAGTTAATTTCTAGTCAACTAACAATAAATACCATTAAAGTTCACATTAAGATATAATGTGATTAACTTGGTGATAACTTTTGTTGGTCTACTTAGGCATGCACATCCATTCTTCTCTCCCTTAGCACAGTGCTCTGCTTATGCCATCTCCACTAACTCCATCCTTTTCCATACTTAGTAGCCACCACAGGAAGCTGGTTGAGTATATTTCATTTGTCAGAGAAATTCAGTTTCTACCAGAGTCCAAATAAAATGGGTCCTCAAAAATAAATAAATAAATAAAATAATGAATAAGGTTTATTAAACATATACATCTATTAAACACATACAAATATGTCCCTCATTCAAAGTAACCGGCATTTACACCTGTTTGGTAGAAAAGACTGATGATTTATTATCTGCATTATAGAAAAAGCAGAAAAGATATAATTTAAATAGCAATAATTATCCAGAAAGTTCTTTGATTTGTCTTGAGGATTTATGACATGGAATGGCTGATCACTGTATTTCATTGTTCTAGGACTTATGTTATTTACTGGAAAATAAAACATTACTTTTCTGTTTGTGTCTTATAATTTGTCAGGAAAAACAAATTATTATTAATATAAGCCCTTTTCCACTAACTGTATAACTTACTGTTTAATTTTTTTGCCATCAGGGTCCACCTTGCTGAGGTATGTATTGGACAAACTTCCTTGCTGTTGTAGAACGCTTATGTCTCCAAAAAGACTAAACTTCTGGAGGTTCCTACAAGAAAAATGATTTTTGAAATAATCAGCCATAAAAGTATAAATATTAAAAGTAGAAATATTTAAAGCTGTCACTATATAACACACTTAGAATCCAATTAAGTACTTTTAGACTGCTTTATATATACAACCCAAAGCAACACGATAAAGGAGAAATGGCATAAACCTTAAAAAACAAGGACTGGCATAGAAGATTGATTCAGAAACTAACCCTGGGAAAGTCTCTTAACATGCCTGAGACTCAACGATGAACAGTAATAACAATATCTATCTTATAGGGTTTGGGGATAAATAACAAAATGACATGATGGATGGTATAAGCTTTAATTTTATATATAATTATAATATTAACATTTCCCCAAACAATGAACTTAATCAGCATGTTAAATGCTAGGGGGGAGAGGTCACTGCCCTGAAGAGCTATTTTCAGTAAGAAATATTCCTTGACTAAAATTAAAAGACAATCTTCCTCGGTTTTATGATCAGACATACAGCTATGATCAAGGTAGGTTAAAAAACTATGTAAGAATCTTTCACTTTTAGATAATTTTAGCTATAAAACATATATTTTTCTAACAGTAAAATTCTAAATAAAGTAAAAGAGATCTAATAACTGGATAAAGATAAAACTCCTGATGCTAATAATAACAAACTAGAGAGTCTACTTATAATCCAAAACTTAGGTATAAGTTTAATAAAAAAGTATAATCCACAAAAGTAATAAAATATTTAAATGACTGAAAAATACTTCTTGTTAGTATATCTCATTTTCCCAAATTAATGACCTTACTTTCACTGAAAAGCCCAATTATTTTAAAATTTAGCTTGAAGAATAATCATTAAATCATTCACTCAACCAACTATCCCTAGTGACTACTAAGTGTCAGGTGCTATGCTATATATGAGACACAATACTGAGCCAGTGCTATGGAGGACAATTACATGGTGCTACATATCATAGGGGCGTTTGACACTGTGTATGTAAGGGTCAGAGAAGGTTCCCTGATAAACTGATTAAAATTAATTTTAAGAATAAGAGGAAGTTAACCAGGAGAAGGAAGGTGGGGAGTGTTACAGGGAAAAGCAAAGCATTTACAGAGCTTGAAAAGTGAGCTGTAAAAAAATCCAGAGAGAGTGAGTAAACACAAAATGAAATGAGGCTGTAGAGGTGGACAGGGTTCTATGCCAAAACATTTTGGTTTTTGCCTTCTCACCAATGACTTGCCCACAAATGGTTTTAAGAAGAGAATAACATGATTATGTTTTTATCTGGAAAATATTACTGTAGCACTGCAATAAACTGAAAGGAGGCCAGAGCCACAGTGGGATGCCAAGTTAAGAGAGTATTTTGGTCATAGAGATGAGAGGTAATGGTATCTTGAATTGGGTTTTTGGTGGTAGAGGTGGAGAATGGACAGCCTCAAGCGATATTTCAGAGGTGAAATGGACATGGACAAGAGTAGGTGCTGGATTAGCTACAGTGGGTGAGGGGGAATGTAGTCAAGAATAAAGCCTAAATTTTCTGGGTTGTGGAACTGCATTGATCATAGAGCTGTCTTACTAGAAAAGGGGTTATTCAAAATGAATTAAAAAAATCAGTAAAATCTTTTGAGGCAGTAGAGGTGACTAGTTAGACTTGAGCACTATTTTGCACACGTTGAACTTGAGATACCTTTAAGATAGTGAAGATTTCCTAAGCTTAGAATAGCAAGTCATAAGGAAGAAATTTTATTTTATTTTTCTTGGAGTCAGATTCTCACCCTGTCACGCAAGCTGGAGTGCAGTGGCATGATCATAGCTCACCAGAATCTCAACCTTTGGACTCAGGCAACCCTTCCACTTCAGCCTCCAGAATAGCTGGGACTACAGGTGTGCGCCACCCTGCCCAGCTAATTTTTGATTTTTTTTGTAGAGGCGTAGACTTCCTTGTGTTGCCTAGGCTGGTCTCAAACTCTTAAGCTCAAGTAATCCTCTTGCCTTGGCCAAAGTATATTTTTGACCATATAAAAATGAAACACTTGGTATTCAACAGCATATCTCACTAAAAAGGGTAAACCAACATGGGGAGAAAAACGTGTAACAAATGCTACAGTTTTTAAAATGTATGTGAAAGACCCCCCCCATGTCAATCAAGAAGAAAAACATTAAGAATCTAAGTAGTTAATGGGAAAAGGCTGCAAAACAGTCAGTGTAGAATATGTCAAGAAAACATTAAAGGGATTACTAATGGAAATAATCTAATTTTTTTCTAAACCTTAAAAAATGTTAAAATTAGTCACTCTAGTAAATCAAACTTTCCATGTGATTCTAAACTGTATTCTAAAAACCATTTCAGAGAAAGACATCAAACTTGTGAAAACGTTTTTTCCATTTTAAAAAAAGGATATAAAACTATTCTTGAGACTCCATACCAGACTTTAAAGGACACCTACAAGAATATATAATTATATTTGCCTTAAAAGTTTTCCCTTTTATCTTTTCTTTGTTCTAAAAGTTGCGGCCACATCCATGAATTAGAATGAGGTTAACTTGTTTCTCATAAGTTCTTAAAAAGAAAAACAAAAAATTTAAAGACTTGTAAAAGAATTAACATTTGTTTTTGGAGAATATGAGCTTTTCTTTATATAAAGATTAAAAATCATATTTAATTTCTAGGAATATTCAGAGAGAATATTGTGGCTCACAGTAGCCTTGATCACAATATTTTCTTCCCTTCAACCCAACTTCCACTAATTACTATTGAATATCCATAACATTGTCCCGCAGTATTAAAACACATATACATAAGAGACTCTTCTTCTATAAAAGATTAAATAGCCATGAGAACTGCCCTCCTACTGGAAACAACTAGAAAACTGAACAAAACATCTGCAACAACTGTTTCTAGACAATAAGCAATATGGGACTGGGATCCTTGAAAAATGGGGAAAAATTAAGGTGGAGAAATGAAGTGAGTGTTATAATGGCCTTAGAATATGGCCTGGAGTTTCCAGCTTACAATGCAGAGTGAGGGAACGTAACATAGCCCAGTGGTCTCCCTGAGATTAGACAGGGATTTATTTGGGGGAATCTGCAAGCTAGGATCTACAGGGCAGAACAGTAGAGACAGGAAACGTACAGAGAGAGCTCCACAGATTTGCGAAGACTTGACAGACTTAGGTCTTAAAAGGGTCAGAGGGTCGCACATAAATTTACTGTATGTCAACCAAAGCCCAATACTCTTCAAACAAATACAAAAAAATAAAAATACAGGACTTAACAATGGAAAATTAATGATGTCTGGCATACAACCAAAAATCACCAGATATAAGGAGAAATGACTCACAACTAGAAGAAGAAATCAACAGAAATATACTTAGAAACAGCAGATGAAGGCATTAGTAGTAAAGGAACTTAAACCAGCTATTAAATAAAAAGCAATATGGATTGGAAAGAAGTAAAACTGTCCTTATCTGCCAATTACATGATCACTTTTTTTTGAGTTGGAGTCTCAATCTGTCACCAGGCTGGAATGCAGTGGTAGGCTTGTGGCTCACAGTAGCCTTGACCTCAGGTGATCCTTCTGCCTCAGCCTCTCATGTAGCTGGGGCTACAGGCACATGCTTTTTTTTTTTTTTTTTTTTGAGACAAGGTCTCACTATTTTGCCCAGGCTAATCTTGAACTCCTGGCCTAAGTGATTCTTCCACCTTGGCCTCCCAAAGTGCTGGGATTACAGGCATGAGCCACTATGCCCAGTTACATGATCATTTACATACAAAATCCTAGGGAATTTTTAAAAAGCTACTAAAGCTGGCAAGTGAGTTTAGTAAGGTTACAGGGTACAACATCAATATATAAAAAATCAATTGTATTTCTATATACTAGCTATGAATATTTGGAAATTGAAAATTTTAAAAGTACTATTTATAACAGCATCAAAAACAGGAAATAGTACTGGGTGTGGTGGCTCATGCCTGTAATACCAGCACTTTGAGAGGCTAAGGTGAGGATCACCTCAGCCCAGGAGTTAAAGATGAGCCTGGGCAACAAAGCAAGACCTCATCTCTACCAAAAAATTAAAAAATTATCTGGGTGTGCTAGTGCTCACCTATAGTCCCAGCTACACAGGAGGGTGTGGTAGTGGTCACCTGTAGTCCCAGCTACTGAGAAGAGGAGGGGAGGGGAGGGGAGGGGAGGGGAGGGGAGGAGA